CTCCCTCCTCCTCCTCCTCCTCCTCCTCCTCCCCTCGGTTGCATGTGTTTCGCCGGCCGCGATGAAACCGGACGGTTGCAACAGACGACTCGTCGTACGACAACACCCGACTGAAGAGGGTGGTCGGCATCCCGACCTCGATGATCAAGCTCTCCGACGGGGACAGGCAGGGGGGCGGCCTCGTCAACGCGTCGGGGCAACTGGTGACGATTCGGGCCAACGACCAGGCGTTTCGTAAGCTCAAGGAGGTACGCATGTTAGCGGCGCTGCCCGCAAGGAACGATGACCAGCTTCTGGTTCACCCTCGTGAGACTTTGATAGTCTGGGCCGGCGAAAACCCGGAAGACATATTGTTCCTCCGTTCCGGCGTTGTACATAGGGATGCGAGGTCAATGGCCTAACGACTGCGGCATGAGTTGTCATTAGTACACTCTCCCCCCCCCCGTTGTCGCCGTAGTCTGCTGACCCCTTCCCCCACCCGCCCAAAACGGTATGTGGCGCGAAAAAACGACGAAACTGATGAAGCGATATTGAACCTGCTCCCCCTAACCTGCCCCCCTCCCTCCCTTCCCCCCCCCCCCCCACACGTGCCAGTTCGGGGGCGGGCAGTCCGTCCAGGGGCTGCTCGACCGTCTGTCGGAATCCGCCCCCAAGCACCTCAAGTGCCCGATCTGCAGTAAGATTATGTCCGACGCAGTCATCCTGCCGTGCTGCGCCAAGAGCACGTGCGACTCGTGCGTGAGGAGGGCCCTCAACGCCTCGGCCTCGATGTCGTGCCCGCTCTGCCAATCCCGCGGGGTCGGTCCCGACAGCCTGCTGCCGAACGAGTGAGTTGAGAGGGAACGAAGCGAGGCCGCCTTAGCTTATTGATTTTTGTTTTTTCAATCGTTCCCCCACCCGTGTGCTAGAAGCCAAGGATAAAGAGGGCCTAGATGTGTAACCAGCCCACCAAACATAACTAAGACAGTGTGTGTGTTCGTCCCATCGATTCTGGCGCCGTACTACAGGCCTTTCGGCGTACTTGTCCTACACCCAGGACAATATTGTACAATACATACATACAGTCAATGCATATCGATAGTCTACGTTGCTATCGTAAAACGTCACGTACTGGTGGCTGTAATACGCATTGATATTGTATGTTTTCTTGCGAGGGTAGCGTTCTGGGAATATGCATCGATCGGCAGTTCGTGAATCTACCTCTGGCTCAATATACGGTAGCATTTTTTTTCGAAACATACTAGTATTGCAACGACCAATCGGTATTGCTCCACATGTTGGAAAGTGCTGCAAGGGTCAATATGATGCAATAATAATACTTGTACATCGACGGAAAAGCATCTGGTTCTTCTCACGATGTGTAGCGATGAGATGTTCAATGATGTGTTGCTCTTTGCAATGCATATCGACACAAGTTGTTGTGTACTGCTCTCCCGATATATATCAATGTATTGTATCTGGTATACAGTATGTATCTGTGGGCATGACCCGGTGCCTACCCACTGTCGCTCCCCTACAGGGTACTGATTTTAGTATAGGGCCATTTTTATGTATGAAGTAGGATGCACTATGGGATGCATAATATATTGTATTTAGAGTAGTGGTGGCCATGTGCGGGGCTGCACCATGTCCCCCATTGATTGCCCTGACCATTCGTCTGTCGATTAATAAACGTGTAGAGCACGAGGAATAGTGGCCCATGTAGTGTGGGCCGAGGGTGTGGCCCTTACACCCTGGACAATACTTAGGCTAATCGAATATTGGTCTAACAATATAGTCGCATTTCGATGGTCGATACGTATTACAGTAATCAAGATGATGGTTCCGGGTGCATCGATACGATATGTATTGTGAGCAACGATAGATGGAAACAAAAGTCTCAACACATTTTTGCTCCCGGGATACATAGGATAAAGTATTCGATAGCTATCGCTTCGACCAGCACGCTTTCAGTTGTTCGTCGATGGATATTGCGAGGTACGGTATGTTTTTACCGCATTCGATTGATACATCTTGGAGCAACGATACGTTGATGATCGTAGCGATCAATATCTATCTATCGTTCCAACACTATGTTGATACATATCGTACGCTGTAACTATTTTCACCGCGAAAGAAAACATGCCCCCAAAACTTTTCCGCGCTCCGCGCGAAATCAATTTTGTGCATGAGCAGGGTTACTGTTAACGCCATGGGGGACGAACAAAAATAAACGAACGGACGTATCGATTGCCTGACACGCATATCGATCGATACTTTCCGTCTGCATTGAGCCATGCGATATCAATTGATACCATTTCCACTAACACTTCGCTTGAACCAATATATGTTGATCGAATTTATCTGAATAGTCTAGATTGAACCAAACGATATCAATTGATACCAATTGTATACATATCTTGGTAGCAATAATAGTGGAAGATATTCTCCCGTTGTGTTGAAGCCATCAATACATATCGATCCCAATTTTTAGCATATGTTGATTGGAGCAATATGCATTGATTATCATGTTGTCTAGGGTGGGATTTGTACCTGACTTGTCAGCCGGGGTCAGTCACGCAAGAGGCAGGCCACACAGCAGGAGCTTTTTTGTTTGCTGATTCATTTCCCCCCGCCTTGCCCCTGCGATACTTCGTCGGTGCCTTCATGCCGGGCGAGCGAGCACCTGATGCCCTGATGCCCCTTTTCGTGACCCCCTATCGTGTTGATGTAGCCAGCCCAGCCCACGAAATAGACCTACCGGTACGTCAGCGCGTGCCGTTATCACAGTTTTTGGTTGTATTGCTATGTTTTGGTGGCACACAAGAGTGCTGTAAGATGATGCGCGAGCGAGCACCTGATTGATGCCCTGATCCCCCACCCTCTGTTCGCCCCCTCCCCCTCAACTGTTGGAATTATTTAATAGGTCGTTGAGAGCCGGTGTGGACGAGTACCTGACCCGAGTGACCCGCGAGAGCAGGGGCAAGGCCGGGAACGAGCGAGCGGCGTCGGAGAGGCTGCAGGAAGACGCCAACCGGCAGAAGAAGCAGTGAGTGCTGACAATCAGATGGGCGGACAGATGAGGCACAAACAGACAGATTTAGGGATGGATTGGGCTGGGCTTTGCTAGCTTGAGTGAGGGCTGCGAGAACGGCCACTGCTGCGTGCGTGCATGCGTGTGAACACGCGTGGCTCACTTCTGTTGCGCGTTGGGACCCCTCGGTCGTTGTTGCTGCTGCTGTTGCTTCTGCTGTTGCTGCTGTTGCTGTTGCTGCTGCTGCTGCTGCTGCTGCTGCTGCTGCTGCTGCTGCTAAGGTTGCTGTCGGTGTTGTTGTTGTTGCTGCTGCTGCTACTGCTGCTACTGCTGCTACTGCTGTTGCTGTCGCCGTCGGTGTTGTTGCTGCTACTGGTGTGGTCGATGTTGTTGCAGTTGCTTATGATGTTGTTGCCATTGTTTGATTGTTGTCGAGGTGTAAAGTTCTCATTCCCGAGAGGAACGGGTGGCCAATCGCAAAGCGACAAATTATTTTGTAAGAGGCGGGCACGTAAATATGAGTATCCCCCCCCCCTCCGTTTTCTTCCTTCTCTCATTCTTGTCCCAGGGAAGAGGCGTCGGCGGCGGCCGGGACGTCATCAGCGTCGGCTGCCGCAGGCGGAGGCGGCGGTGCCGGCGGCAGCAACAAGCGAAAACGTCTTCCCCAGAAGGGTGTGGACGCGATTCTCGACCTAGAGCCGAGAGAGGAGGAGGAGGCGGCAGACGAAGAGGAGGACGAGGAAGACCCATTCGGTAAGTGCCGGAGTTCTTGGTGGTTTTGGTTTGTGGGTAAGTGCAGGTTGGCTTTTGTTGTGTGTGTGTAAGTGCGGGAACTTCGTAGCTTGTTGTGTGTGTAAGTGCAACTAGGTTTGTGATGAGTGTTTAAGTGCAGGTTCTTCATACCAGCTCTTTTGGGTATGTGTATGTGCAGTTAACGTCGTTGGGTGGTTTTGTTTCCTGTGTTGAGCGCGGGGGGAGGGTTGGTTTTGGGGGGCAGAAGAGAGAAAACCATGAATCATCGCGTTGGACGAATCGAAATCGAACACGTGATTCGATGTCACCATGTGCCGTCGAGATGTTTTCTTTTATCACAGACACGGACGATGCTCTGGGTGTTGTCCCCCCCCCCCCTCCTCGCTGTGCATGCTCATTTGCCCGCTTTTGTCCGATCTTTTCGTTTTTCCCGCTTTCAAGTTCGCTCTAAGCTGTAGTAATCAATTTCGCTTTGCTGAGGTGTGTACGTCTTGTGCGCTCGTGTACGGTGCATCAGTTGTGTATTTTGCTCCATTTTTCATATTTTCGCCCCCACGACGTAAATATGCCGCTGTACAGGCAACGACGTTTACGACGTGCAAGCGCAGCCGCTAGAGGAGGAGGAGAAGAAGGATGGACGGGACGGAGAAGAAGAGACCAAAAAGACGGGGGACGAAGGGGGCCAGCAGCAGCAGCAGCAGCAGCAGCAGCAGCAGCAGCAGCAGCGAGGAAACGATGCCGGCAGCAACGACAACCAGGCAATCTCGAACCGCGACTTCGGGAATGGGGGCGGCGGCGGGATGGGGCCGGACGGGCGACTGTACCAGCACCAGCACCAACAGGTACGCCGCCGCGGGATAAACATGTAAAACCGGCACCCTGCTGTACGTTAAGTGGCATGTTTCCCTTGCGGGGCAAGAAAGTGTGCATGGATCGTGGTCCTCCAGCGGTCGGTCGCGAGTGATACCACGCAGGATCAGAGTCACAGATGAAACGATGAACCCGCGGTATGCGCATGTGGATGTATGTGTATACGAGTAATACTAGAGGTATTAGATGACTGAGGTAGGTCTAGATCGCAAAGACAGCTGGACTTTTTCGGCGAAAAAGAAAAACCAGACTCCAACCCCCGCGGGCTGGCCGGGCGGGCTGAGGGTTAAATGGCGACGGTGGCGGTGGCGGTGGCGGTGGCGGTCGCAACCTGGCGGCTGTCCTGAACACAGACGGTCTCCTGGCCCCTTGGGAACGGTTGCGTTGTTTGCAAGGGCGTGTTTAGTACAGTATAGTATTTTTATTCCAGTATTGAAAGCTGTACTAAAGCGTGCAGTACAGTACAGTACCGAACGCCGTCCTGCCAGTACAGTATATTCCAGTATCGAAAGCTGTACTAAAGCGTGCAGTATTTTTATTCCAGTATTGAAAGCTGTACTAAAGCGTGCAGTATTTATATTCCAGTATTGAAAGCTGTACTAAAGCGTGCAGTACAGTACAGTACCGAGAGCCGTACTGCCAGTACAGTATATTCCAGTATCGAGAGCTGTACTGGAGAGTGCAGTATTTTTATTCCAGTATTGAAAGCTGTACTAAAGCGTCCAGTACAGTACAGTACCGAGAGCCGTGCTGCCAGTACAGTATATTCCAGTATCGAGAGCTGTACTGGAGAGTGCAGTATTTTTATTCCAGTATTGAAAGCTGTACTAAAGCGTCCAGTACAGTACAGTACCGAGAGCCGTGCTGCCAGTACAGTATATTCCAGTATCGAGAGCTGTACTGGAGAGTGCAGTATTTTTATTCCAGTATTGAAAGCTGTACTAAAGCGTCCAGTACAGTACAGTACCGAGAGCCGTGCTGCCAGTACAGTATATTCCAGTATCGAGAGCTGTACTGGAGAGTGCAGTATTTTTATTCCAGTATTGAAAGCTGTACTAAAGCGTCCAGTACAGTACAGTACCGAGAGCCGTGCTGCCAGTACAGTATATTCCAGTATCGAGAGCTGTACTGGAGATTGCAGTATTTTTATTCCAGTATTGAAAGCTGTACTAAAACGTCCAGTACAGTACAGTACCGAGAGCCGTGCTGCCAGTACAGTATATTCCAGTATCGAGAGCTGTACTGGAGAGTGCAGTATTTTTATTCCAGTATTGAAAGCTGTACTAAAACGTCCAGTACAGTACAGTACCGAGAGCCGTGCTGCCAGTACAGTATATTCCAGTATCGAGAGCTGTACTGAAGAGTGCAGTATTTTTATTCCAGTATTGAAAGCTGTACTAAAACGTCCAGTACAGTACAGTACCGAGCGCCGTCCTGCCAGTACAGTATATTCCAGTATCGAAAGCTGTACTAAAGCGTGCAGTATTTTTATTCCAGTATCGAAAGCTGTACTAAAACGTGCAGTATAGTATATTATGGCCAAAGGTACTTCAATACTGAAAATACTGGCAGTATCGTACTGTACTAAACACGCCCTTGGTTGGTTGTTATGGTGTTCCCAGAACGGCTTTCCTCTTGGTAAACAGAACCCGCGTGTGTCCGGAAAAACCTTCGAGACAGCTTCCAAGGAAGCCTCTAAACACGCGCCGATCACATGTGCTCGCACGCCCTGCGTCTGAGCCGTAAAGAAATGGAGACACACGAGAACAAAAACACGAACTTCGCGCCGTGGGCGTTGCTCCATACGATGTGAGAAAACGGGTGACCGTGATCAGAAAAAATCGACTTTTATACCAATCCCGTCCGTCGTCCGTTGTTCTTCCCGCCTTCGCCGGTGTGTACTGTATGTACTGCGGTTATCACCTTCGTCAATCCGTCCGCTGTCCTCGCAGGACGGCATGGGGAACCGGGGACCCGGCGGCGGCGGGCCGCTTCCGCTTCCGCAGCAGCAGCTTCGACCGCACCCTGTCCACCTGCAGCAGCGCCCTCACGCGTTCGGCGAAGACCAGTTCCACCCGCATCAGCATCAGCAGCAGCAGCAGCAGCGGCCGCATGGGTTTGGCGGACCGCCGCCGCCTCCCGGGGTACCGGTCGATGACCGCGGCTTCGCCAGGGGTGGCGGCGGCCCCGGCCCGGGCATGGGGATGGATATGGGCCCTGGTGGAAACATGGGAAGCTTCATGAACAACAACAACAGCAGCAACAACAGGGGCCACGTTGGGATGAGAGGTGGCCCGCCACCCCGGGGCATGATGGGACCGCCGCCGCTGCACGGGCGGCCGGGGGGCAACAACGGCCCCCCTCCAATTGGAAACCCTGAAGGTGGCGGGGGTATGATGATGAACAACGGTGGCGGCGGCGGCGGCATGATGGGGCCGCCACCCACCGGCGGGCGGAATGCCAACCTTAGGCCGAACGACGACGGTGTGTCGGGCGAAGGAAGAGGCGTTCGCGGTGGCGGCGGCGGTAGGGGAGGAGGTGGGCGAGACTCGAACTTTGGCGGGGGAAGGGGCCCGGGCGGCGGCAGGGGTATCCCGCCTCCTTCCAACCGCGGCATGCCTCTCGCTGGACCGCTGCCGTCAAACGCCGGCGCCGGCGGGGCCGGCGGCAGCAGCATGGGCAGAGCCCCCGGTGTCGGCGGCGGGATCGGACTCGGTGGGGCGGGGCCGCGCCAGATGGGCGAGGGGCGCCCGGGCATGGTCGGCGGCGGCGGCGGCGGCGGCGGCGGCGGTGGTGGTGGTCCTGGAGGGATGCTGCGAGGTCCTCCCGGACCTATCAACACCGGCGGCGGAGTGGGCATGGGGGACGGGGGTAGCGGCGGCGGCAATAAACGGCAGAAGCGGGAAGGCGGGGCCCCTCCAGCAAGGTCAGTCTGGATTTCATCATGCGCGTTTTTTGCTTGATTTGGGCATGATTAATGTTGAGCTGACTGCTGTGCGTCCAGAGTTTTTCGGCGCTTGTTTTGTTTTTTTTGGTTGTTTTGTTTTTTTGATCTTTTTGTGCAGCCTCGACTCGAGACTACACCACGCGCCGCGAATCCAGGAAGCAAGTGCCTATTGTCGTGTTTGTCCGTTTGGGGCGTCCAGCGCCTTCAGTCCGATGCCATGCGCTTTGTTATCTTAGCTCTGATTTAGTGTCGCACAGCAGCAGGCCCACAACCCTTGTCTTGCCTCCCCCCCCTGGATAGGTGTAGCACTGTAGAAAAAATGTCCCGCGCGGTCAATGGTCTAATAACCAGGGAAAACAAATCGTAATACCCCCCCCCCCC